AATTGATGTGTTTTATTGTGTTATTTAATAATTACACTTAAGTATTTTTGTAACTATGCAAAGTATTGTTTTAAATAAAAGCCAATTTTGAAGTCTAGCTGTCCTTCACACTAACATCAGCCAGTACAGGAACTGAACTCAAGCTATGAGCATTACTCTGCTGTACTAACTCTACCAGTTTTCCAGCCAACTGAGCTAAGCAGCATCCCAAGCTCTCTCTGAGGGAGGGCACAAAAGCCTGTTTTGTCTCATGTGGGACTACTAATTCACTGTGAAGCTATATTGTTACATACTTTGTTTGTAACACCACAAATGCCTACACTGCACCATACTGTAACCATTACCAAATTTGTGGAATCCTCTCCTTATGAGCCCACAACAGGCCAAGGTGAGATGAGGCAGCATTTGACAGGGAATGAAATCATGTGTTAATCACTGAAAGCTAGTTTTTTATTAATTCTTTCCAAGCCACAAACTGCAGCATAATATTTTATATTCTGATTGGTCTAAATGAGGCAAGACTAATTTCTAATTGATTTAAGGGCTGTGTGACTATCTCTCATTGGTTTTTAAGGGGCACTGTTATCAGTTAACATCACTTCCCATTTTTCCTGATTGGTTCCCTGCAATTGATTATTCATGAGCCCATTCTTCTCATCATGGTTTGTTTCTGTTATTTTAATACATCTTCACAAAGATAATAGGACATTTTCCAATATCTAATTTCCTCATTTGTTCGGAATAGGACAATATATCATCCTCATGTACTTAAAACTGATACCATGAGTTTATCATCTCAGATTTGCTTAATTGGTCAGAATTTCAATTAAATCAAAAACCTATCAGTGACTATCTGTCTTTAAGAGACCTTCTGCAAGGCATTTGGTTTTACTAAGAGTTGTTGCTGTTTGGAAGAGTTATCTTTTTTTCAACAGATGGTGAGGCAGTAAAGTTGACATTATAAAACTAATAAAGACAATTAGAAAGTAGGCCATACTTACAAGCTACAGTGTGTATAAAATAAATGTGCATTGTGATAACAAATTTGCAAGTGAGGCATACTTATGCATTCAGTTAACATATAGTCTTGAGTAATAAATATCAAAAAGGATTACACAGCCACAAAATAAAATCACACAGTGTAGCTTGACTATAAAGAATGCATTTAGCAAAATATGATTGCTTTTTCTCACTCCAAAGCATTACGGATTGAAACTAGCCTGATATACAACACAGCTGTTATTTTTCTTGTTCCCTCTTCACACAATAAGCCTATTTAACTTTCCTCTGATAATTGCAACTTCAGGTACTTAATAAGATTCACTGTGAAAAGGATGGCAGGTTTGCTCGTTCAACCTTGAAAGTCTGCAGGTTTCTCCTCTGTGATATGGAAATAAGTGCAAAAGGGCACTTCACTTTCAACTAAGGCTGGGTTATGAGCTGAGGCAGCGCATGACTGTCCTACATTAATAACAATTAGTCAGTAAGAAGATATTAGGCTAACTGCTGAACACACTTTGGTTATTTGATCATCACTAATCTAGAACTAATTATTGAACATGAACTTCCCTATACAGACAATCACCAACTCCAAAAATAAAGAATCTAACCATCTCCTCTTGACACTCAGCAACATAACCGCTGTTGAATTTCCTATCAATAACCGGGTGGCTACCAGTAATGAGAAACATAACTGCAATAGCAATATAACTATTACAATTACATGAGGAAATCAAAGGCTGACATCATTGTGGTGAACAATTCAGCTCCTGATGCCCCAAAGTCTGCCCATCATCCACAGCCAATAGTTATGTGCAGAATGGAATAATTGCCACTTTCCTGGATGGGTGCAGCTCCAGCAATCCTTAAGAAGCCCTCCACAATCCAAGGGAAAGCAGCTTGCTTTATTAGCACCCTATCCACCATCTTAAACATCTAACACCTCCAACACTGACACACTGAAGCAGCAGTGTGCATCTTGTACAGGATGTGCTGCTGAAACTCACCAAGGATTTGATAACACTTTTCAAACTCATGACGTTTACTATGTAGAAGCACAAGGGCACCAGATATATGGAAAAGCCACCACTTTCAGTTTCTCCTCCAAGCCTCACACCAACTTGAGTTGGAATGATATTGCTACTTCTTCACTGTTTCTGGGTTAAAATGCTGGAATGCCAACAACACTATGGGATCGGCAACAAACATGGAGCTTGCTGGCGAGGTCGTTTCCCATGACAGAATCTTTTAAAAGTACTTACACAGCCTGGACTACAGAACTTTTTGAAAGGCTTACAGTTACTTTCTCAAGGGCAATTAGAATTTATTTTAGAATTTATTGTTATATGTACTTTTACAAGAAAAATACAATGAAACCTGTTATAACTCGCCTTACCATGGCGTCAGAATGACAGAAGTCATAGGTAAATTCATAAGCAACAATAAAAAGTTAATTTAAGACAAAAGTTCATCACAGTCCATTTATCAGCTCCTGGATTTGAAGGAAGCCGATCAATCTATAATGAGAATGCCAAGCCTGGATGAAACCGACATGCCGGACCATGGGGAAAACTGGGCCGAATGCATCTGAGAAAAACCACTGCCAGGACAAGGTTGCCAACCTGGATGAAGAGGCTACGCCAGGCCATGGAACACTGGGCTGGAAGTGCTCACCAGATACTGACTGTCTTGGATCACAGCATGTATCCAAATGGTTCTTTTCAGATTCAGGTAAATATTATTAAGAGAATGCTCAACAACAGCTACTTGCTTAAATATGAATGTTTATTGAGTAATAATAAATGATGATAGTGGTAATAATAGATGGAAAAGAAAAGAGGAAAAAGCAACAAGTCTCATGCCTTTCTAGAAAAAGCAAAAGTCTCATGTTCTTCTGCCTGTCAAAGACCCTTCAATTGATGGCTGGTCTGGAGGCTTAGGTTCATTTCCAAGTCAAAGTGAAATCTAGCAGCAGCTGTAACAGCTTGGAATGAAACTCTCTCTCTTTCTCTTTTGCAGTATCACAAACAACCAGTACAGAAAACAACAGATACAATAGACAGAACTGCTGGCTGGCACAGACAATACAGGATGGGAAAACAAGTGCAGGTGTCATCTTCTGCTCGTAAAGGAATGTTCACAGGATTCCTTCAAGGTCATGCAGCTTGTTAAGTATTGTTCTAAACTTTCCCAGCCTATATTCCCATCCTGAACAAGACTATTTTCTCATTAACCTTTAGCCCTTCGGCCCATCCTATCCACCGATGAGACCTCAACACTGGACAAAACCACCACATCCAGGAGACCACTCCTCAGAGCCGAGACCACTACGCAAGGAAAGGGCCGCCACTCCGGACCACCGAAGCCACGCATTGCATTTGAAGATGTGGTGAATGCTGTGGTGCCTGTGTTTCCTCCTGCTTTGTGCGACAGGAGGTCTGCATTACCTGAACACTCCCCCCCACTGCGGGATGGAATCCAGAGGTTGGAGTCATTAGACTGATCACAAAACAATTTCAATTGTCCACTGGAAGAACAGTGTGCTATGCTGAAGCTTACCAGATGGTGTACCACAAGGATCTGTCCTGGGTCCTCTTCTATTGGTGATTTTTGTAAATGATTTGGATGAAGGAGTGAAAGTTCGCGGACGATAGGAAGGTGGGTTGCGTTGTGGACAGTGCAGAGGGCTGTTCTAGGTTACAAACGGACATTGATAGGATGCAGAGCAGGGCTGAGAAGTGGCAGATGGAGTTTAACCCTGAAAAGTGTGAGGTGATTCATTTTGGAAGGACAAACTTGAAAGCAGAATACAGGGTTAAAGGAAAGATTCTTGGCAGTGTGGAGGAGCAGAGGGATCTTGGAGTTCATGTTCACAGTTCCCTGAAAGGTGGATAGAGTTGTTAAGAAGGCATATGGTGTGTTAGTTAATAGAGGGATTGGGTTCAAGAGCTGTGAAGTTATGCTCCAGCTATACAAAAGCCTGGTTCGGCCACATCTAGAGTATTGTGTCCAGTTCTGGTCGCCTCATTACAGGAAAGATGTGGAAGCGTTGGAAAAGGTGCAGAGGAGATTTACCAGAATGTTGCCTGGAATGGAGGGAAGGTCTTACGAGGAAAGGTTGAGAGGGCTAGGGCTTTTCTCTTTAGAACAACAAAGGATGAGAGGTGATTTGATAGAGGTGTACAAAATGATCAGAAGTATAGATAGAGTAGACAGCCAGAGACATTTTCCTAGGGTGGAGGTAGCTATTACGAAGGAACATAGTTTTAAAGTGAGTGGAGGTAGATATAGGGGAAATGTCAGAGGTAGGTTCTTTACTCAGAGAGTGGTTGGGGGTGGAATGCATTGCCGGAGAGGGTAGTGGAGTCGGCCTCATTAGGGGCATTTAAGCAGCTATTAGATAGGCATCTGAATGATAGTATAAGATAGGGGTGGAGGTTAGATAGACCTTAGGTTAGGGTAAAAGTTCGGCACAACATCGTGGGCCGAAGGGCCTGTACTGTGCTGTACTGTTCTATGTTCTATGTTTACCTCGGGATGATGTTTGTATTAAAATATGGTGCATGAGATGAACTGCAAAAACCATTGTGAACAAAGTCCTGTTCAATTAATACAATTGTGTGTTAAATGAGTAAGTGAACAACAGAATTAGTGAAAGGGCCATTATTAAGGCAGCGTAAACAGCCTTAATTGATCCAGTTAACAAAATCATAACTTCATACACCAGAATGTTGCTATGGAAACTAAATGACAATTACCACCAATTTCAAAGAAAGATTTTACTTCTGCAACACAGATGGCATCAAGCCAGCCAAGTGGCCAGTCACATCAAATAATTCTAATCGATAGTAAGAGCTGCTGATGCTGGAGTCAGAGATAAGAGAGTGTGGAGCTGGAGGAACACAGCAGGCCAGACAGCATCAGAGGAGCAGGAAAGTTGATGTTTTGGGTCGGGACCCCTCTTCAAAAAAAAAAATCCTTATAGACAGTTAACCAGGAAATATCAGTTAATTTTTTATTTACTTCTTTTTACAACTTTACAGAAATCAACATAAAGATGGTGCTGTATACATGGTGTTAAGGTTGACATGAAATATAAACAAGCTTTAAAAAATAGATTTTATTAATTGAAAAATCTAGGGTTTTTTAAAACATGTTATGGGGAAAGTGCGACTTTCAACAAATATAAAATTAATCTTTCAGGGCCAAAGACCTTATTCAAATGTAAATATAAATTGGTACATGTTAAAACCTCAGCTACACCTCAATCAATAAGGCAGAACATTTTCAATCATCTTATGGTAAGACAAATTAACTTCAGAAGTAGAAGTTAATGTCAAATCAGTGATTTCTAATTGTTTCCATCTGTGATCACTTCAGGAGCACACCCTTTGAGTAATGTGAAATCACTGTCATCAACTTCTGTGTTTAACTGTGGTGGGGTTTGCATCAGATGTTACAGTGAATTTCACATGATTAATTACAATGACTGGCTACAGATGAAACTGTATGAAGAAAATCATCTGCAATAACAGCTTATTTTGAGCAATAACAGCTCAAAACAGAGATTCCCATCATTGTATCATTCACACTTTAGCATACGAATATTTAGATTAAAAAATGCAAAGATGCAAAGTTAATTCATTCATAAGGCAATTTGTCATTCTGTAAACAGTTTCAATGATCATAATTGTCATCAATGAAAATTATCTATATTCTGTGTCATAGATTCCCTGCAGAGCGGATAGAAGCCATTCGGCCCAGTGAGTTCACATCAACCATCAGAAGAGCATTCCACGCAGACCCACACCCCTACTACCCTTCCCATAATCTCACATTTTACCATGGCTAATTCACCTGAACTGCACACTATGGGGCAATTTAGCATGGCCAATCCACCTAACCTACGCATATTTGAACTGTGGGAGGAAACCGAGCACCCGGCAGGAGCCCACGAAGACACGTGGAGAATGTGCAAACTCCACACAGACAGTCACCCAAGACTGGAATCAAAACTGAGTCCCTGGTGCTGTGAGGCAGCAGTGCTAACCACTGAGCCGCCTCTACGTGTCAATCATTCTTGAAACTCAACTAAAGCCTAGACGTTTAGAGGAATTTCTTCACTCAGAGAATGGTGCATCTTTGGAATTGTCTACTCCAGAGAGTTGTGGAAGCTCAAACATTGAACAAGTTTAAGGCAGAAATCAGTAGGTTTCTGGAGACTAATGACATTACGGGATATGGAGATTATGCAGGAAAGTGGCATTGAGGCAGAAGATCAGCCATGATCTAATTGAATGGTAGATCAGCCTCAATGAATGGTCTACTCCTGTTCCTATATTCCCATTATTCAACTTTATGTTCAACATCCTAGATGATAACTTATGATAAAGAAATAAGGCACTTTTTTTGTCCTTCGGAGTAATACTGCTCCATGCACATTGTAAGCAGCACACTCTGGCAACCAGTCACAAAAGAACATCCCAACCAGATCACTAAATAATCCAATTTGCAGTATGCTGGATTTTCTAGGAACGTGAATAAAACTCTAATAGTTTGCCATAAAAGCATGACAGCTTGATTGAACTCGTTTGCACTCATGCTACTCTTGTTTTAAAAGTTATCAAGTATTCTGGATATGCACCATCATCGCAAAAAATAACAAAAATGGAAGGTTTGTTTAGATCATTCACTGCACAGTCACAAAGGTCAGCTGAATCTATCTGTGGATCGACTGGTGTTGGTTCCAGCATATTCTGTTCTCCTTTGCACAGCTTCCCAGTAATCACTCGTGCCTGATAGATGTATTTACATCCATCAAAATCAGGATCAGAGTATTTGTTGTCACATGAATACGAGGCATTCAAAGCAAAGTAAGTTCCTTTTCCAAAGTAAGTAGCTGAAACATTAAAAATACATTATTAGGTACCATCTACAAGATGCGCTGCAGCAAGGCTCCTTCAACAGCACCTTACAAATCCATGACCTCAACCACCTGGAAGGACAAAGGTAGCAGGTACATAGCAACACCACCACCTGCAAGTGCCCCTCCAAGTTACACGCAATCCTGATTTGGAAAAACATTGCTATTTCTTCAGTGTCACTGTGTCAAAACCCTGGAACGGCCTTCCGAACATCATCACTTGGATGTACCTACTCCCCATGGACTGTAGTGTTTCAAGAAGGCAGCTCACTACCACCTTCTCAAAAACAAATATTGTCTGGCAATAAATGATGCCCACATATCAGAAGTAAATAAATAAAAATTTTACAGTCATTGCTTGTATTGATCATCTGCTGATCTAATGAAATGACAGTCCAATTCAAGACTCTGCTATAAATAGAACATTCAAAGCTCTGAATGATCTGGAAATTGTAGCATAATTTAATCCATTTTTCTGCTGACCCTGTTTTGGATTGCAGGTCATCAGCACGATGGGGCCAATTTTCAGGATTAAGGTATTCCCTCAACAACTTTAAAACCAATTTTCCACGTGCCTGGTAGCCTTTCTTTGTAATACAGAAATCTGGATTTAGCAATATAAACAATGGAAAGATGAAGAGCGGATGGCAATTACCCAGAATCTGTATTAAAATGGGATTGGCAGTGAGGAGACTGGCATGGAGCGTGGGGCATTAGACTAGGTGAGGGTGAGAATGTGAGGTAAGTTGTTCAGTAAGTTTATGTTTAAATGCATTTGGAGACATTCTTGGTGCAACTTCTACCATCACAGAGTCATAGTCATAGAGATGTACAGCATGGAAACAGACCCTTTGGTCCAACTCATCCATGCTGACCAGATATCCTAAATTAATGTAGATAAAAACCGCGAGAACTGTGGATGCTGTAAATCAGGAACAAAAGCAGAAGTTGCTGGAAAAGCTCAGCAGGTCTGGCAGCACCTGTGAAGAAAAATCAGAGTTAACGTTTTGGATCAAAATGTTAACTCTGATTTTTCTTCACAGGTGCTGCCAGACCTGCTGCGATTTTCCAGAAACTTCTGTTTTTGTTCCTAAATTAATCAAGTCCCATTTGCCAGAATTTGTCCCATATCCCTCTGAACGCTTCCTATTCATATACGCACCCAGATGACTTTTAAATGTTGTAATTGTACCAGCCTCCACCACTTTCTCTGTCAGCTCATTCCATACACACACCATCCTCTGCTTGAAAAAGTTGCCCCTTAGAACCCTATTAAATCTTTC